CGTTGCGCTGAACGAGGACATTATTACAAATGTCCCAAAGCGAAAAAAAATCGTGCTACAAGTGTAGCCGTCGCCACTTCGAAATAAAGCCTGCAGCCACGCCCGTTCCATATCTGGGATATGGAGTGTGGAAAACGAATGTCGATTGTGCAGACAATTTTGTACCCCTTTCACATTGACGGATTTCGAAGCGTAGGGGAAGTCGGAGAGTGAAACCAAGCTACCAATGCAAGGAATCAAAGGCACTTCTTGCGTTGATCATATGGGCGGAGAACCACCATCCTTTCCATCATAAAAGGAGGGGGTGTGCAATTTGGTAGAAGGGTGGGAGGGGGCATTATGGTGGTTCTCATCGATCATTGTCAGAGGCGTGTGAATTCCTGTGAAGCTGTACGGTAGCACTACGTTTGCCCTTGGCAAAATTCTGCAGGTCTCGGCAAGAATAGACATGTAATTTGTCAGGAACTAGCAAAGAGATAAGCAGAATGTGCTAAATCCCCCTCCCCCTTGCCCGAACGGCTTCCAGACGCTTCCGAGGAGGCAGACACATGTTCAGCCTCATCCAGATATTTCATAGAGCCGCTCATGATGTAGCACATGTCCGTTAGCTGCTAAAATTAAGGAGATGACATATTGTACCACAAAAGTCTTGTTCAGTGCAAACGTGGTCCAGCGCCCCTGTCAAGAGAAAGATGATGAGATGGTGCAAATGACGTCACTTAACGTGCTGGTGACGTGTCTTGGCAATGATGCAACGTAAATTTCTTCGCGATGAAGGTGTTACTGTCCCTCGCTTCGAACCTTGAGGCATGTCCTGGTAGGGGCTGGGTTTGGCGCAGCGGCAATCTGTTGTCTATCCTTTGTTGAAACAGGCAAGCGACAACGAGTGAAAAACGAACTGTCATCGCTCCAAATCCAACCCCTTGAACACCCCCACCCACCATCTGCAACGAACAGGACTGTAACACCTCCATCACGAAGTAACTTGTGTAACATATCTGCCAATGTGACAAGACACGTCATCAACACCCTACATGACGTCATCGGTATGTCATCTATCTCTTAACGCGTAAGTACTGGACCGCGTCTAACAAATAGGGGCCATTACATCAGTGCAGAAGTCTATTTTCAGGAAAATGGAATGTCAATCACGGCCGAAGATGGATACAAGTTCATTACGCATGAAGATATCTTCCTCTTGGTTTCAAAGAAAATTAGATAACATTTATTTGAATAGGGATTTCACATGAACAACAACATCAAAACAAGTTACTTGTAAACATATTCAACCAGTATCAATACAACGTCTACTACATCATATCACTATCGTCATCGACGATCCTTTTTGTCCTTCTTGTGTTTCTTTGACTCCCTGCAACGAAAGAACGGAACACTTGCAGATGATTGGTGGAGTAGACAATAAACTTACCTTTCTCTACTCCGGGAATCACTTGAATGTCTCCGCTTTTTCTTCTTCTCTCTTTCCTTGCTACGAGATCTACTGAAATTAATAAGTAATGTGTGAAATCACAGTGAAAAGAGAAAAGCCGGGGAATACGTGAAAGGGAGAGCGTCAAGGATCTACGGAAAAGGAAAGGAATGAGAGACCCTCCCCTGCTTATCCCAACTTACTCTAGACAAGGACCAACTGCTATAGCACAGACGAAAATATGTAAAACTATACCTCCTCGACTTCCTATGCTTGTGTTTCTTGGACTTTTCCTTTTTCTCTTTTTTCTCCTTCTTCTCTTTCTTCCGTTTCCCGCGCATATCATCACGATCTTTTTCGGCTTCATCTTCGCTTAGGCGTGACGGTAGTTTTGCTTTTGTCTTCGGATTTTTTCGTTTCAACCCTTCCAAGAAGTGCACCAATGCGGCTGAAAGAGATAGGGAAATAGGAAATTTCGAAAAAGCTCGCTATATCCAAAGATAGTGGGCACGATGGCTTGAAGCGAAAGGTTGCCGCCAACATCACTGATGGAACGGCTGAGTGGGGAGTGGCCAAACGCCCTCGTATAGCCTTTCCGCCAATGACGCTGGCAACAGCAACCCGCCTCCAGCAATTGTGCCCACTGCCTTAATGCTTTCAAGATGATAAGAAACGTACCTGTCAATCAATTTGTCCACCATTTCTAAGGAAGTTTTTTTCCTTTTCGCATCCTCTTCAGCCAGTTGCTGTAAAACACGACAAATAAGTGACCCGATGGTTGAAAAGCCTGATCAACTTACTCTTTCAATTTCAGCTTTCTGAGCTTCGAGCTCTCGAATTCGTGCTTCTTCTTGTTCTCGGAGTTTTTTGACACGCTTTTCATTCAGCAGCCGTTCCATGAAAATGCGAGCCTTGAAAATAACTTATTAGAAAGAATTACGGTTTCGCTTTGAGAAAAAAAATTATGTATCACTGCTGAGACTCCTTTAACCTACCTTTTCTTTCCTATCCAACTGGGTGTTGCTTGGAATGTTTGGTGGAACTGGAGGTGGAAGTATCTTAAACGAGAGCATCGAGTAACTCACAACATTTAAGTGAACAATGAAAACATTGACCCTGTTTGGCGACGGGGGGGGGTATTTTGCACTTCCGCTCTTCACTAGTTCCGATTTACATGCCTCACTCTAGTGAAAACCCGTGAAATCTTGCGAAGCTGAAGCAACTCCGTTGAGTCACCATGGTAAACGGTGTTTCATGGCTTTCCAAGAGTTGTCAGGCGAACTCCACACTTTGACTGACATCATTTCGGGCTTCACAAGATTTCACAGGTCTCCAGCTGGTGGCTTGAGGGAAAGTAGTAAAAGGGCAAAATGCCCCTCCGTCACCCAAAGATCAACTGCAACATACGTGAGGACTTGTCATAGGTTGCTGAGCTATAGTAAGCGGTGATAAAGTGCGTACGTCAACGAGCACACCACTGGCAGGGTCGTCCGCGATCGCGAGCCTTAAAAAAACAACTCTTATATTATCCCCTCTTATTAGTATGGATGAAAACCTCAATCGGTACAAACCGATCGGGCACACTCACCCAGTTGACGAACACGGAAGCTCTTCCTTTATAGGAGCTAGACTGAAAGAAACAGGAACGGAGGGGAATGGTCTAGATGGCTGCACGGCTGATGAACCGCCGTCACTCACGGCTCCGGCATCTTCCGCAATTGGCTGAACTACTGGGGTGGTAAGAAGCGCAGGCGATGAACTCACTTTCGGTATCTGAAAGTTGATGTTTTTTTTCAGAGGCTTTCAAGATGAACAAGATGGATAGGCTGACGAAGTGGTTTTAAACTCACGTGGAAAGGATCGGCTAACGCTATCGCAGCCACTGGATCTACAATTCCTACAGGTTGAGTGGTTGCTACACGAAAACCATCTTGGAGTCTCCGCCTCTGCTTTCTATTCAACAGTGGAACAGCGGGATCTATAAAAAATTTAGTAGGAATGATTACTTTTGAAAGTAAGTTGGAATTCCTTAGCCCGATAACGGGAACCGGTGAAAACCTGCATACGAAACCTCGCCTTACATGATCCGCGTGTGATTAAGCGTTACTAAGCGACCTAGTTGCTTGGTAGTCGTGTATCGGGTCCCAGGAATCGCGAACTATGAACACCCTCCAAGCACGAATCCGACAGTCTAGAGTAGCTGTCGGTGTCTGGTTACCCTGTCTATGCGCTATTGTCAAGGCACGTAGTGTGTTGGGGATTTCAGTGAGTAGGGAAGTCGTAAGAGCCGTGTAGGGGGCGCGCACGTGTCGTTCATACCCCTCCCTCGCCAGACGGTTTTGGAAAAACTGTAGAATTCAGGAAAAGATTATCTCTAAAAAAGTAGTAGGAAGTTAGGTGTAATAGGAAGCTTGTAAGTTGAATTGGGGCAGGGTGGCTAATGATAGGAATGCCGTGAGAATGTTGGGGCGGGTTCGTATCCTGCGAAATTTTTTTCCGCTAGGACGTGCCCTGGGTAATGTAGCCTGCCATCTCAACCAGAAGAAGGCTCTGTGATGGGGCCCATACAATGACTTGTGGGGCCAGCCAGATGACAAGTCAGTGTTGTTATCCTCCCAGACGAATCTGGTATCAGTTTATCCCCATTTTTTCTTCTCGGGGTAGAGATCCTGGTTGGTTTGCGCGGAGTCGACCAAGGATTTGATCCCCGGACCATGCGCGTGGTAGCGAGCCACTTGCGTTACACCACCTCCGCTTAGACCTCTGATAATACGATATAACGGAAAACCAGCCGGTTTATCTTAAGCAATAAGTACCTTGTGGTAGTGGAGAGGATGTCGAAGAAGTGCGCAGACCTCCTCCGACTGGATAATTTCGCTCGTACCCTCCACAACTGTAGGGGTCCCCATTTTCTGCTTCATGCATCTCAGCCTGCAAACGAACCGAAAATATCATGCCAAACTTTACTTCAATACAAAAGAGAAACGCACATTTCGAGCTAGTTCCTCTGCCTGCTCTATAGCTCTCCTTGCAAGATCCCATTGAACCAAGCGAACCTGGTGCTGGTAGTAGGAAAAGTGAGGACTATGCGGGTGCATGAACGTCAGTTGCAGATCCACGCGCTCTGAATTTATAAATGGATTTTAAAATTCTTGTTGAGTAACTTGAACGACCCACCTCTCAACTCCAATTCAGCTTCGGCACCGTGACGAGCAACAAATTCTGCATAGCTTGAAATTACCGGCTGAAGATCTGGAGGAGGGGGAACCATCGGCTGAGGACTTGAAAAGGGACAAGGAGTTCCGTAGAACGAATACCACCATGCTTGATAGTCTTCATCTGGTGGTGGAGGTGCAGAGCTGAAAGTTGTGTTCCATCATAAACTCTCACATCAGGAAGGCGTTTCTCTCAAAGAAAAAAAACGGAAAACGAAGCCACGTACGCTGCGATATGCCTTTCAATCTCAATTTTCTCTATTCTCCTCTTCTCAGCTTCCTCGCGCTCCGTAGACACCTTACTGAGGCTCTTGAACAGCGACGCATAGATATCGTTACTCTGAAAACGTTAAGCTGAATTGATATACCAGTTGGAAATGAAAAGTATAGTTCCCACCGTGCTCATATCGTAGTCATGACGATGTGCTGTGACACGTGGAGGAGATGGAGATGCAGGGCGTCGCCTAGGGCCAGCTGCATTTTCTGTCCCGTCCATTACGTCAGGACTTCGTGCACCTTTACGTGATCCACCCAATAGAGATGGATGCAGCTCACAATCCGAATCAGAATCGCTGTCGTTTTCGTGCTCTGAAATTAGTTTATTGAAGGCCCAAAGAATTGAATCCGGATTGCAAACAGCGAACATCGAGCCATTTTCAGGTCTTGTAAACGCGGTTAGGGGAATAGTACGACCTAAGACAAGCGGTTCCATCTTAGGCAGGCATCCGCGCAGCTTTTCGCCATCGACCAAAGTCCCCAGAAAAACACGGCATCGATGCGTATCGAAATGCTGCCTGTCGCGAAGTCGTTAACGCTGCCTTACGCTAACAAAAGGGCCGCTCAACAAATATGAGAAATATGACAAGATACTGCTATCTCTGAGCTTCATCCAATATGTTCTTGAACAGTGTGCTTGAAGCTCTTGACTTGTTTAACCACTTTATTGGCAAAGGCCGCTCCAGGGAAAAATAATGAAGCTCGCGAGATTACACCGCCCTCACAGCCAGGATCAATGCAAAAGAGGAGCTACGTGACCTTCTGAGACTCATCGCATAATCACCGCCACCCATTTGTCTCATTGTCATAGTGCGGGTCACTTATTGCCCTGACACCCCGCCGATAGGTCCGTCCCTCTCAAGGCCTGGTATGTGAGGTTTTACGCATTGCTCGTTGTAGCTATTATATGTTCGAAATTGTAATTTAAGGCCTGACGAAGGCATTATATGCCGAAAGCTTGCCAATAAAGTGGTTAAACAAGTCAAGAGCTTCAAGCACACTGTTCAAGAAGAAGAGAACCGTTTTCCTTTAGGTTCTACTAAAGGGACAGTCCTCGCCTCAAGTAAATCTAACCCTTCTGCAGATAGTCCTGCCGCCTCCACTTACGTTCAGAAGCATGTAAGATTATCCAACCTTTTCGAGGTTCGCAGTAAGTAGTTCTGACACCTCTCCAGTTCCCTTGTCCTCCAAAACCCAGGGATAATTTCTGCTACGAGTTCAGTTTTTGCGCCGTGTTTTTCGTTTTCTTTTTTGTTTCATTGATTGGTGTATTACATGGAAGAAACAGGTGAGCCAGAGGTGAAAGGAAATCGCTTTAGTAGCATAAAACGACTGGATTGAAAGCCGAAAGCTTGAGGTGAGGCTGCGGGGGGGGGGGTCCTTACATAAGATGTTCTCCAGGTTTTGCTTTTTTCTTTCCTGGAGCCACTTCGCAACTAGAGGTAACCGAACTTCACTTCTCACGATATACTATAGCGGGGTTACTCTTTGAGCCGACATTTTCCCATATTGCAAGATCAGTGAATAAGTGCAGAAATCTAGGCAAAAAAAAGATTCAAACTTACGAGAAGCCAAAGCGGTGAGGGCATTCGATCTCTTATCCTTGCTGTCACTGGCCGATACTTTTGGTGAACCAACTCCCTTCTCATCACGTTGTGCACTAGCCTTAGCATGTTTCGATAAACTAGGAGTGTATTTCTTTTCGCGTATCAGCTTCGACAAGTACTTGTAGTAGGGATGAAGCGGATTGTCGAATTCAAGGAAATCCAAACTGAAAAGAATCATATAGGGACTAATGGAAACCCGTTTTTACACTAAAAAAAGCTCCTCCATCAATGAATAATAGGAGCTTCTGTTGCTTACACTCATAACAAACCTGTTCTGTATTGTTCCTTTGCTTGGCTTTGATCACAATTTCCATTTGTGGCCCTTTTGTTACTACAAACAGCGCCGTGCGTTCGATGATATGATTCTGTTTCTGATTGTCGGGCTGCAAAACAGTGCATGAGACATTCTAGCAAAAACCGTAGTTATCGCCGAAAGCAAAATTTCATCTATAGGATATAAAAACTTACAACCACCAGCCCCACAGGGAGTTTGATGCCTGGAGGAGGTTCGAATGGTTCCGTTTCGCTGTCGCTGTCATCGCTTCCTGCCGCACCGTCACCGTTCGTCTTAGTATCACCTCGCTCCCGTAATCAAAACCAATTTCAGCTTTCTTGGGACGCAAATCCTCTTCTTCTTCTGAAAAAAAAGAATAGAAAGAACCGTATCGGTGACTCTCTACTACATCTTACTCTACTTCTTAATAAACGAACGCCGTTACCTTCAAACCTTGCGCCACCTCAGAATCTAAGAATCCGCAAAGTATAGTCGTTTCGGCACTGTTCAACTATTACTACCCCGATTTTCCGAAAACGGGCCGGATCTTGATCGACTTTTTTCTACGGGGCAGATTTGGCGTTCTAGGGGTAATTCGACCTCCTGAACACGAATATCACATCCGCTCCTCCCGAAACTGCCTGGCGCCCGCGCCACAGGCGCCGGCGCCAAAGTACCCTAGATCACCAAATCCGCTGAAAACTTGTGCCCAGGGGTAGTTCGACCTCCTGAACACGAATATCACATCCGCTCGGCGCCCGCGTCACAGGCCAAAATGCCGTAAATCAAGGCGCCTGTGGCGCGGGCGCCAGACACTTTCAGGCCAA